TGTTATGAAAGTAGTCTTTACCCTGGCAGCGTGCTGACTTTGATGTCAGATTGCCCAGGCGTCCTTTGGGTGCAGGTTCTGAGACTCGGCAGCCAGATTCTACTCGACGCCAGCTTTCCAACGGTCCTTCAAAAGTCTTCCTAGCACCAATATTGGTGCAGTTATCTCCTCTGAGATAAGTGTTTTGGGCTGGATTCATAGTAAAGGATTAGGGAGCAGGGAGGGGGGGGCGCTTTCTTTCTGTATCATGTATTATACAACCAACTTAAATATGATGAGAAATACTATTTATGTGAAAGGTTTCAGAATCTACATATGTGACCTGGGTCACAAGGTCTAATTCTGGTATTGCAGTAGTGCTTGCTTGCGTTCTGGCTGTATCCTGAGTTCTGCCACCATGGCTCGCTTGCGTTCTGACTGCGTCCTGAGTTCTGGCGCCAAGGACCGTTGCATCCTGAGATTCGGTAGCTGCCGTCTTGTGTCCTGATTAACGGTTTGCGTCTGTGCGTCCTGTGCGTCAGACGCACAGGACACACAGGACGCAAGCTTTTATTTTTGCTGATGTACTGCCCTCCCTCCCAACCCTTTGCAAACTTGCACTCCCTTCCTCCTCCATTAAATGTTCCTACCATTCACTCTCCTTTCTTTTGTTTCGATACATAATAAAATTATGTAGACCGCCGAGGGCAAGGGGTAATTTCACTTGAGTCATATATGGATACTGATTTGGTGAGCATAGAATTGGAAATCGCTTCGCTACAACTCCAAAGATTCTTTCTATGCAATTTCGTGCTTGCGCATGTCGGAGGTTAAAGAGCTCCTCTTTTGTTTTTGGTCTTTTATTTTTCAATGTATTCATATAAAGTAAATGAGTTAGCAATTTGAATAAATTATGTACATAGTTATAATACAAATAAAAAAGTACTAAACTGACCGTAACTTTACAATAGCCTGTTCACGTAAATGGTATCTAATACCACGATAAGGTGTTAAATATCCCTTTTTTAATGCATAGCCCGCATCAACAAGAAGATATTTCCCTTCCGGAATCTGAAGTCCATTCTGGATGGCCCACTGTAGTACTCGTCCATCATGCGCTGACCCCTCCCAGCCAGGGACAATACAGGAAAATAGAAGCCCAAAAGTACAGATCCCAAGTACATTTTGGGTTATTTCCCCTTTTCGATTTCGAAAGCGGGCAACATCTTCTACTCGAACTCTGGCAGGAATATGAGTTCCATCGGCGGCGCCAATTGCATCCTTAAAGTACGGATACAAAACTCCCTTCTTTTCGTATATTTCTGTGGGAATGATATTTGGATCAGGTAGGACAACAATTTCTCTTGCCAGTATTGTTAATCCCGTAAGTACTTCATTGAAGTATCTAATTCATTTTTATTATTTATTATTGCTTTTATAGTATACATTATGATTGATATTATGTACTTACTTTGTTACAGTAAACCCACTAATCTGAAATCTTTCTTGTACCTCACGATTGGTACCATTATGACCAACGACAGCGAGAAATAGCGCTACTTGTTCCTCAACTGAAATCTTTTTAGATGCTGTAAGTCCTCCATATCTTCTCAGCCACTCATAAAGCTCACAAAAGATTGATTTTGGCATTCGAAGAACCTCCAAAATACGTGGCTCATTCGAGGTAAGAAGTTCTTTTATGTAGGTATCTCTGCTTAAGGGACTTGTACGGCATGGATTCTTATCGAAATGAAGACAACCATAGGCTCCCACTAGAATCCCAATTTGACACAACTGAGATGATGATAGGTGATTGCTTGATGGAGAAGGCATGGAGAGATTAGAGATTGGACAGTATAAAGAGTGTTGTAGTTTCAGTTAAGCTGATTGTTGGATTAGGGCTCTACAATAATACGGGTTTGGCAAATATTGGTCTGACCAGTATTTCAGAAACTGTCATTTTGACATCATTATTGCATCTTCGTTGTTGAGTTTTGGTGTCAACCAGACATGCCACCTGGAAGCAAAATAGAGTTTTGCTACAAACTTCTATAATCAGGGTCAAAACGAAGGTTTTGGGTGGCAACCAGACGGACCCTTATTATCCTAGCTTACCGTACTGTAGCAGTATTCACAATACCACTGACATCGGAACTTTGGCCGGCATACCCCGAGCAGAGGGTCACAAACTATGGCTCGACATCGAGGCTTTATCGCTAGCAACCGAAGTCAAGCAGACATACCGGTACAAGCAATCTACAGTACCGATAGCTCTTTAGGGGGCCTCGCACTGCTCTTTTCTAATTCCGAGCCCTTCAACACCTTCTGATTGAACCTAAATTCAGCTCCGCGTCAACCGCCCAAAAGTGCCACTTGGAGAGTCGGTTTGTTTGCCGATGCCCGCCGTTGAATTTGCCGGTGCACCCACTCTTAAAAAGTTAACTCCACAATCGATGCCTCTGGGCACGAAAAATCCTCTTACCACCATTGATGATTTCTGGGATGTGCAGCTCAATAATGATACCTGGCTAGCTGACAAACAGGGTGATCCCACAATCGGAGATAGCGATTTCCCCCATCGCGTCCCCTGATGCCACCATTATAGATGCAGGTTCTCCTTTCCTCCGTATCGACACTAAGGTGGTGTGCATACGGCTGTTCTCTCAGTGGGTGACTTAATTGACTGGGATAAATGCCTACTCCCTCGAGGCGGGAATACTTGGATTAAATTTCTATACGTAGGGCGTTACCCGAGCTCCTTAAACAGCAGTGCTGCCTTCAGGCATTATGGGGAACGGGAAGTACTGTGTAGTGCGGTGATTCAAATGTGGGGACTCCAAAGAGTGCTAGTATGGTAAGATGTTAAACATATCTGAAAGGTGGATGGGAGACTACCACGTTTATCAACTGCACCAGAACGTGATACCCACGTGCGCATGGATTCGCAAAAAAAAAAAGAGTGAGGGAAACATCCTTAAGCATAAAGACTCACCAGCCTCTACGCTGCAGCGTGCAGGAGATCTTGGGCTCAGTTTCCAACTCGTTCATTGTGGGGAACCACTGCACCGCAGCTGGAGGTTCACTGCAGTATTATTCTTTCTGCTTCCTCCCCCATCCAAAAGACCTCAACATGGATGGTGACCCAAATACGGGACGAGGAGAGAAGCTCCACTTTGAGGACCTCTTAGGCATGTGAACCCCCGTTCGGATATGCGGCGGTTCACCCACGATACAGAAAACCGGCGGCAATAGGCAGCGCGGGTGCAACCATGTAACATGATACTTGTATCGTGGGTCGTGACCCCCCGACAGAATTTTTTAACGAAGGACTCTCCCACCTGCTTGTCCCAGGCCATAAGTACAGTACCCGAAAACAGGGGAGGTGTGATACAAGGATATATTGTATGGGCGCTCAGATAGGCACGGATATTTTACCATATATTTCTTTAATCCTTGTTTTCGGGTACTCTACAAGTACTCGAGTACTGTATAGTATAGTACTTATGGCCTGTAACAATTACCGGTAGCGATCGTCTATCGCTACTTGTCATTGTCTGCCAAATCATCCTTACAGCTAGCGACGATCATCTCTCCGAGCGGACCTACTCCGAGTACTTGTACGAGTACTGCTGACGCACGAGGTCTCGGACGGGTGGTCGATAGCTGTGAAGTTCTCCCGATGATTAATCCCAAGTCCCAGGTTGGTAATACAAGATAGGTTATGTGTGGATGATACGGCAATTCCATCTGCTCGAATAACCACGGTACTTGGTAGCTACGAGGAGGAGAATGCTATGATATCTAGCTATCATGTCCTCCCTTTTTCATCCCCACATTTTTCGGCGTTAACAGTCCCACCACCCCGGTCAGACTTTCCCCGCATCAAACTCCTCAATGGCCCTGGGGCTCGAACGCAAAAGGTCCAATTGCTCTCCCCCAACCCCAGAGTTCCGGAATTTACCACGACACAAGCGTGTGCCCGTACTTGCACAGTGTGCGCTCACGACGATTCCGAGGTGCTCTATCGATCTGTGATATCATGCCGGGACCGCTAATCGCGCGAGATTCCATATTGGAACACAGTTAGCTTAAGTCGAAAGGGTCTTTACTACCTGTAGCTGGTGCGGAGTTCACGCAGTATACCCGACTGCTTTTGACATGGATTTTGATCGGCTGGTCTATGGCTGGCATGCTGCTCTATGTTTGGGATATCCCATCCACCTCTACCGAGGAGTTGCAGTGAGAGCGAAAGGTTTTTGGGAGCATAACCTACGGATTCCGGTAGGTACATCCAGAGTCAAACGAAGAAGCACCTAGGTGATCTCGTGCTATCTATGTCTAGAGACCCAGGTTAACAGAGGGTTCCAACAAGGTCTCTCCTGAAAGTTTCCCAGGGACAAAACTGTCTTCAACCCAAAATAGCCAAGGCAATTCCTTGTTCCATGCATGTTCGAGATTCCCCCAATCGCTATCATTTCCAAGCTACGATCTCCGTCTCGAACTACCCTGGAGTCTAGTATTTCACCAAGATATTCAGATTTCTGGGCCCCCGCAGCATTTGGCTCTGTCGATTAAATCCCATCAAGCGAAGATCTACACTGCGCAACCATACTATGCCTTATCACAAGCATAAAAATCTCCCCATGAGTACGGCGCGCTGCCCGTTCCTCGTTCCCCATCCTTCTACAGCAGCATTTCCGCCACCTTTGAGCCAGGCGAGGAGCAATAATGGCCACCAATGGCACCTCTAACTAGTATAAGAGACCTCTGTTCTTCTCCTCCCGACCCCCCTCATCAGCAACAGCCCCAAGGATAGCCTACGGTCATCCCTCACCTTGAGCCCTTCATTTGCGAGCCTCACTATCTCTCCATAATGGCCCCACCCCATGCCGACGATCAGCACTTTGCAGGCTCCGCCTACCCGCCAAACTGGATTCCAGTGGTGGAGAAGCCCCTACACACCCCAAAACGACTGAGAATCGTTACTGTAGGTGCTGGGTATTCTGGGTTGATGCTTACGTACAAGATTCGAGACCAGTTCAAGTACGGGGACTTTATGGACCACGTTATCTATGAGAAAAATGTAATCTCCCCCGGTGTCACTTGTTATAGTTCTAATTAGCCTCTCCGTAGCACGATATTGGGGGGACGTGGCTTGAGAACAGATACCCAGGTACACCCCCAAGACCAATATTCCCCTATCCTTCCTATGGGGCACTAACAGGAAGCCTTTTCCGGTCAGGGGTTGCCTGTGATGTTCCTGCGCATATATACACCTTCTCATGGGAGCCTAATCCAGACTGGAGCGAGTTTTATGTGGGTGGAGAAGAGATCTTCCAATACATGAAGCGCACTACGGCGAAATACGACCTTGCAAGGGATGTTATTTTCAACTCCAAGGTTACGGAGGCCATCTGGAACCAGGGGAGAGGGAAATGGGAGCTCAAGATTGAGCAGGAGGGACGATTCATCTGGGACGAATGCGATATTTTTATAAACGCCTCAGGGATCTTGAAGTGAGCTACCCCCCCTCCTACCCTCGATCAATTTCTAACCTGATAAAAGCAAGTGGAAGTTTCCATCCATTGAAGGAATAAATTCTTTCCAGGGGCATTTGGTGCATAGTGCAAAATGGTGAGCTTAGGTGTCGTTTGTTTGAATTCAGGTGCTACATAAGTACTGACGCTTTCCAGGGAGGATAATTATGACTTTTCTGGAAAGAGAGTTGGTATCATTGGAAACGGCTCTTCTGCGATCCAGATCGTCCCCAAACTACAGAAAGTAGTTGGACACCTGGTAAACTTCATGCGTACCCCAACCTGGATCAGCGCGACATACTCTTCCGAGTTTCTTCCCGATGGAAAGAACTTCTATTGTAAGACTCGTTTAACTTCCTCTCATAAGAATCCCTCCATAACCTTTCGACGACCAGATACAGAAGAGAAAAAGGCCGAATTCCGGAACAATCCCAAGATGTTAGCCGAGTATCGCAAAAAAATTGAGAACGGCTTCAACAAATTTTTCTACGCCCTTCTCAACGACTCCCCTGCCCAAGCTGCTGTGACGGAGCAGTATACGCGGATTATGTCTGAACGCCTCGGTAACAACCCTGAGCTCATCAAGAAATTCATACCAAGTTGGCGCGTTGGTTGCCGTCGTCTCTCTCCCGGAGAAGGGTATCTAGAGGCCCTGCAGGCTCCCAATGCGAAATATACATGGGATGCCATCGAACGCATTACCGAGAAGGGTATCGTGACATCCGCTGGCGAAATCGAGCTCGATGCGATCGTGTGCGCCACGGGTTTCGACGTCTCTTTCATGCCCCAGTGGAGAATGCGAGGGCTCAACGGCTCTACATTGGACAAATGGCGGGACGACCCCGAGGGATACTTGGGAATATTCGCCCCCAACATGCCCAATTACTTCATCGTTAACGGGCCCAATTGCCCCGTCGGACACGGCTCACTTCTCTCTGTCATGGAGTGGACAACAGAGTACATTATCCGCTGGGCAAAAAAAATGGCCTCCGAGGATATCAAGCAAGTAGCCCCAACCCCCCCATCCCCCATCCATTTTTATTCTTATTTCCTTATTCCTTTTTTTCTTTCTTAAAAAAAAAAGAACATTCTAACAGGATTCTCCAGAGCCGTGATAGTAAAACCTGACGTAGTCCGGGAATGGAATGTGTACGCCCAAGAATATCTCAAGCGCACTGTCTGGACGAGTGGTTGCCGCTCTTGGTACAAGAATGGCAGAACCGAAGGGAAGGTCACGGCAACATATCCCGGTAGCGTCATCCACTACAAAGAAGTCCTAGAAACTATCCGTGGTGAAGACTTTGACATCCAGTATTCTGAACACAAGAACAGATTTGGCTTCATGGGGAATGGTTTGGCGGCCCTTGAGATGAACGAGGATGCGGATTTGGCGTTTTACATGTATAAGTGAGGTCGTGTGATCGAGTTTTTGTAGGTTTGGTTTCGGGATAGCCATTCCTTTTTTTTTTTTTTTTTTCCTTGTGTCCGGTGGTTGGGTGTATTTTCCGGGTTGGCTTTAGGGATTTAGTTTAAGTCTATTATGGTACCATATATATATGTTCTCTATTCTCCCTGAGGGCTATCGAGTGAGGATTTGTGATCTAAAGTGATCGTATGATACCATCTCCAGCAGGAAAGCGTAAGCCCTCCCAACCCGCGACATAGAAAAACTATCAGGTTAGTTCTTTTGTGCCTTAGGGGGATATACGGCGCTCCCCCTACCTACCTGCTAGCCTACCAGAAACCACGCCAGGGCCAATCATCTAAACGGGAGAACGAACCAGTATACCGGCCAATAGCAAGGTACCATCGCAGATAATACAGTGCCCCAAAGCTCTATCCTGAGGGGAGTATTAGTCAAGAATTCTAATGGATCCGGGAGTACCCAGAAGCAGGGTTTATTTTTACTGATTCAAACGTGAGCACCACACCCACGGACCGGCAGGGGGACACGACACACAGTACCGTAAGTTAACAGCGCAGGACAACGTCCCCGTCCAATACCAATTTTACAGATAAGTAAGAAATACTACTGTGGGTATTTGGGACTCCAGTCATCAACCTTACCAACCACTCTTTGAAGACCCGAGCTGGCTCGGAAAACAGATGGGACGTGGGTGAGTTACTCGTGACTTATGCGGCATGGGACTCGAACGACCTGACAGAGTGCTGCTGGCATGTCGTTGGAGTAGCGTCCTCCGGCAAGATTTCGTGTTTCTTTCTTTTTCAGTTACTCGAAAGGTTTGCTAGGGCGTGGTTAAGCGTTTTATTATTTTTCTCACGGGCACTTCCTCTGAATTTCCACTGCGGGGACCCTTGGTGCCGCACCCCCTTGGGGTGAAAATGGGGTGAAGGCTTTTGGATAGTGGCTCCCCGTGCATAATTTGCCACGAGATTAGTTCCTAAATAGCCGGTTGTATTTAACACATACCGGTAGAACCACTAAAGCCACGAGGAGAGGAGTGGGTGTTTACACGGACTTCTGGAGGATTCTCATTCGTAATTTGGCTGGCCCGGCGGGTACATAGTAGGGAACTCTCCAGCGGTAGGGCAAGGAAAGCGTTCGGACATAGGCTATTCTTCTTAAAATCTGCACAGTTTTCAAAGCCTGGTTGAATCTCTACCGTACTTCAGTAAAGGCCACTTCTAGGCAGGCGTCCTCAGTCTCAACAGAACCCTCCACCGAGTGCTAACTAGTGATACAATCCTCGAGTAGGGCTGATGAAGACATGAAGACATAACCGGTATGATGGTTCACCTTTCACTCTTGTGTTATGCGGCTCCCCAAGCCTAGTCGCTAGGAGAGGGTAACAACCAAGCTATTATTCCGAAATAGGCTTAGCTCAAGCCGAGAAAGCCGCAGCTTCCATAGAATCTTTGACACCCAATCCCTGGAGGTCCCCCAAAACATAAAATAGGCCCCCTGGCCAATGCCAACGCCAACGCCAGCCGCCGATTCAACCCCCTCACACAGCTCCGCAAAACAAGTCGGTCGACCAAAAAAACCACCATGCCGTTTGTCGACCTTCCAAACGAGATAATCTTACAAATCGCGGAAGAGCAGGAACCTCCAGATATAAATGCACTCCTGAGAACCAACCGCCGCTTCGCCTCCTGTTTAATTCCGAGCCTTTGGGCCAGCGTATTCCGATCCCCACCCCAGCTCTACGCCGTGGAAGCACTACTCTCTGCAGCGGAGAACGGATACAAAGATGTAGTCAGACAACTGCTCGGCAAGGGCGTACTTCAGTACTCTCAGACACCGCATTGGAAGATTATGCGGAAAGTGATAACTGAGCGTGACACAAAGGCCCTGGGCACGCTCATGGAGTGTGGCATGTCGATCGATACGACGGACCCTGATGACTGGACGCTCTTGGGGCTGGCGGCGGAACGGGGCTGCTTGGAGACACTGTTGCTGTTAGTGGCTCACGGCTTCGACGTCAATGAGCCGGGGAATTTCCGGTGTGAGTCACCGCTGAGCCTCGCGGCCAAAAACAAACACGATGAGGTGGTACAGGTTCTCCTAAGTCTCCCCGACATAAACGTTAATTCCAAGACCGAATTGGCCTTCAATACACCACTACACAACGCAGCGAAGGAGGGAGACGAAATCATTGTGGAAATTCTCCTAGCGGACGAGAGGATAGATGTTAACCCCGTGAACTCCAGTTGTTGCACACCCCTTCACATAGCGGCTGAAGAAGGCCACGAGGGGGTGGTCGACCTGCTTCTAGCACACAAGGACATCAGGCCTGATATCCCAGGATATATTGGCAAGGCACCAATACACAGCGCAGTTTGTGGCGGGTACAGCTTGATTGTCCGTCGTTTGTTGAGCGACCGGTCGGTCAACAGCCTGGACGACTGCCAACGAACACCGTTGTACTGGGCGTCGATGCTGGGATGTGAATCGGTTGTGCGGCTACTATTACAACACAATGGTGTCAAGGTTAACCTAGCGGAGCGGACGGGCAAGGGGCCGATGCACATAGCAGCATGCACGGGGATGGAGAGTATCGTGTGGATCCTGTTACAGGACGAAAGGGTCGAAGTCGACAACATGGACGATTACGGGCGGACACCATTATGGTGGGCAGCGATGGAAGGCCACGAGGGAACCGTCCGACTTCTCCTCAGCGATGGTAGGGTCGATGTCAATCAGCGCAACAACCACGGCGAGACGATCCTGCATATCATGGCTGGACACTGGGGGAATGAGGCGATAGTGCAGCTATTGCTCAGTCATGAGAAGACGATTCCGGATCTCCGCGATAATGACGGGAGGACCCCGCTGTATTGGGCTGTCATGAAGGAGCATGATTCTGTCGTACGGCTTCTACCTGGGGATCCAACCAGCCCGTCCTTGTTATAAGGTGTAGTATCAAGAGAGGGGTGGGGTAATAAATTTACCACCTTAATCAGAAAAAGGGAATACGTGCTGTTAGGGAGCGAAAGGAGGTTTTGCTCGCCAAAGCGATTGCGTGCTGTGTCCAGCTCATTCGCACGTATTCAATCGCCATGCCAGGCCAGGCCTCCCATCGGGAGAGTTTCCTTATCCAGAGCCGCTTGTACAAACATAATAGCAATTCACACGTATTATAGTCCAAAAAATCGCTTCACAGCCGACGAAACAAGACCAACAACTCGAGACGTAGTATTTGGATTTTGGCATACAGGCAAGCCATCTACCGGTATAATATCTACTCGCCTTCGGACATGGGAAAGATAATCCAGCGCCAGACCTACCCCACCACAGTGATAATCCATGACCAACCCTAACCTCCAAACCTACGGTACCAGCATTTGTCACCACTTTAAGCCGCAGGTCACAGCACGTGTCATTCATCCCACCATGCAACCCCACAACACCGGAAACCCAAACCAAACCTCCCACCCTCCGCACCCTTCCCGCCACCACAACCACAATTCAGCAAGAGCCCACCCCAAAAAACTTCCACCATGATCGAAGTAATCTGGTACCTCCCCCCTTCCCCTCCCCCGCCCAACACACCCCAACCTACCTACCTCAAACTTCGGCCTAACAACACCCAGCAACGACCGCCTCGGCAAAAAAGTGCACGTAAAGTGCGAAGCAGACGATACTATCGGTGACTTTAAAAAGTTGGTAGCGGCGCAGATCGGGACTTCGCCGGATAAGGTGTGTCCTCCCCATCCCGCGAAGAGAGAATAGTTGCGCTACTAACGGGCGGAGGGGGGGGAGTGACTAGATTGTGCTCAAAAAATGGTACAACACTTTTAAGGATCATATCACCCTGGCGGATTACGAGATTAGTAATGGGACTTCTTTGGAGATGTGGGTTTTTCTTCTCCCTTTCTCCCCTGAGGCTCGGGGTTAGCTGATGGTTTGGTTTTAGGTACTATTGTTAGTTGGGTTGAGGTTGAAGGAGTGTGGGGGGGGGGTATGGATACACTCGCAGTTGGCTTTCTGGCTAGATCTATGGATGGATGGACGATGGATTGATGGGGGGCTCGGGGGAATACTTGTTTGAAGAGGTTTTGAGTGATCGGTGGTAATGATCATGGGTTGCCCTGCTTGTTCTTTCTCGCTTTTTTTATAGCACGGTTGTCTCTCAGTTTACTAGAGTACCGCAGTGCATGATCTCATGGCTTTGCAAGTTTATATTTAGCCCCCCCCCCGCGCGCACAATCTAGAGCCGGCCTAAGAGGCTCTATCTCGTCTCGTTCGCCATCCGACATGCACCTATTTGATGTTCCGAGAGGTCCTCCGAGCGTTCTGTGCAAGTGCCGGACACATAATGCCCCGAAAACAGAAAGAAAGCTTACCGACAGCCGTCCTGTGCGAAATCTCCCTATACACAGTAGCAATGGGGATATGGTCTTGCCCGAGCAGTGGTATCGGATGAGCAGAAATTAAACCATGTATTAAGAACTATCATAGGGTAGGGTAGGCTGGCAGGGGGGAAAGGTATCGGGCATTTAATGATATCATACACAGGCCTTTGGTGGGACCATGGAGAATGAACAGTGGAGAGAGAAACTAGAAAAAGAAGATACTAAGGAAATCCTAAGCTACCACCCCCTCCTAGCCACGTGCCAACTAAACATGCCAAGATACAAGGAAATCTACGAGACATCTACAGGACAAGAAAAGCGAAGAAAAGGTTATGGGAAAGATTCTATCTGGCCGCTATCGTTACCGTGTGTTGGAGTGTTGTTGGGATAGAGGCAATACCAAATCATGCATGTTTCCGGAATTTTGCACGCAAATGATAATAGAACCGGCGGATCCTTTTACGGAAAGGCAGGGAAGACAACTTTGGAGATTCAAAAGCGTTGCCGATGAGCAATGGGTCGGGTGAATCAAGAAGACGCTTTGGAGACCGTACTTTTTGCTAAGTGTGTGTGCGGAAACGACCTCCAAGGGAAGCGAGACTAGCAGTATATCTTTGGAATCATCACTGTCCTGCCGCGAGTGAGGCGATGCTTCCCAGATAATCACTTGACTGATTCTTCATGTATGGCCTCTTCTGTCTGTGGGAACAATGATAAGACTGAATTTTCCAGTGAGTGTAGGGTCAGCCCCTTTCCGTTCCTGTAGCAGCTTTACCACTTCCGAACGCCCATTTTTAGTGGCCCACAAAAGCGCTGTGTGGCCAAGTTGAGTATCCACCATATGTGGGTCGTCATATTTCCGCCCAGGGGCGCCCTCACCACTTCCAGATGCCCATACTGAGCAGCGAACAAGAGTGGTGTCCGTTTGAGCAGGGTTGGCTTATTGGGATCAACCATCCTTCCGCTGTAGGAACCGCTTCGCCACTTTCAGATGCCCATTCTCAGCAGCCCACGAGAGTGCTATCTGATCGTATTGAGTATCTTCCACATTCGGATCAACATCTTCCGTCTCCGGGAGTAATCCCACCACTTCTTGATGCCCAGATCGAGCTGCGAATAAGAGCGGTGTCCGTTTGAGATGGCTTTTCGTGTTGGAGTCGAAATCTTTCCGCCTCAAAAGCAACTTCACTAAACTCACCATTCAAAAGTATTGTCCCATACTCCGTTTTCCCGCAAAAGTCGGTATATTCATTAACTGAAACAATGATAAAAGAAAACTATTGAAAACTACTAAAAACCACCAAAAGCAGATATTTATAAGGAAAATCTTTTGCTGATTTTTATTTATTTTATTTATTTATTTTACAGGTTTGGTATTCATTTTTGTATGGTGGTTGATATGGAATGCCAAGCCCTCATACAAATTTGGCAGGCTTTGGTGGGGATTTGCTTTTTATCGCACTATGCCTATGTAAACCCAGGTGCAGCTCATCCAAGCACAAAAGTTTTACTATTTTTATTACATGATAGTGTGGTCCTTGTGAAAAGAAACTTGTATAAATTTTTTGTATTTTTTCAGGATACCCTGATATATAGATATGGGCTAGTTAATTGCCCGTGTTTATGCACTTTTTGGTGGGGTTTTAGAAGGTGGGACAATACTTTTGAGAGGTTATTTTACCTCTGGATGCCCATTTTCAGTGGCCCAGGAGAGTGCTGCCTGACCATGTTCAATATCTTCTACATTCGGATCGACATCCGCCCGCTCCAGGAGCAGCTTCACTGCTTCCGGGTGGCCATATCGAGCAGCAAACATGAGCGGTGTCTGCCTAAGATTGATTGCCGTATTAAGGTGAACATGTTTCTGCTCCAGGAGCGGCTTCACCACGTGCGAATCCCCAATTTCAGCAGCAAATGGGAGTAGCGTTTGGCCACCTTCAGAATCTCTCAAATCCGGACGGACATCCTCCCGCCCCAGCAGCTGCCTCACTACTTCTATATGCACATTTTCAGTGGCCCGCGAGACCGGTGTCCGTCCATATTGAGTATCTTCCAAACTTGTATCGACATCTTTCCGCTGCAGTAAAATCTTCACGATCCCCTCATTCCCATTTCCGGCAGCCCATATGAGCGGTGTGCTACCTATGGGATCCCTTGCATTCATATCCCAGCTTTTCATCCGAATCAATGCGCTTGCGATGACATCAATCCAGAGAAATGCGATGCCGTGAAGCCCAGTAAAGTTCTTAGCAGAGCTCTCTTTCTTTCTTCTCTAGTCTCCGCAGCCGCACGGCCTTTTCTAGCATCAGTAGCTTGGATATATGCTGCTCAAATTCGCCAAGCAGTTTGAGCCCAAGTGTTTTCACGGGTTCTGTCGCCCTTCTTCTTGCATGGGATCCCCAGTAATTGGAAGCATACTCGAGGAAAGGGGTTTCCAGAGGGGCCGAACTTAGCTCAGGTAACAGACCACTGATATGTTTGTAGTTAAGGTATGTTAAACAGGTTTCCAAAATCATCGAGCGTGCACCGGAGATATTGGGATTTTCAGAGATATTCTTGGAGGGCAAAATTTATGAGATGGACTGCCGACAATGAACCGATAGTGATCAACCCAAGGGAGAAGATAAGTAGCGTTCATATCGAGGGGATGCTCCCTGAAACAAGATCCATTGTCCTCAGCTCCACCGCCATAGCGTGATATCTCGTCGACCCGTAATGGCCTCTTGGCGTGGGAAGCCGGTTTCAGAACAGCCATTCCAACTCTTGCCTTGTCCCCCCTCTGTGGTTCATTTTTTTTTAGCGTTGGTATGTATACACTCCCCAGGTCTAGGCCCTTTGTCGACTCGTCAAGCTGTCTCCCCCCGATAGATTGTCGTCTCTCCGAGGATCGCATCCACTCTCAACGACAGCAGCTGGAACCTAGCAACCTTTTTTGTCAGTAATCGTAAGCTGCGCTGATTGCTTGCTCTTCCAATAACCCTTAACATATCATACGTTTTAGAGAAACTTCCCGGAATACCTTTCCTGATATCTGCCCTCTGGCCATCGCTAATTTCGTCGGGAATCGAGTCATTTTCCTGTTTTTTTTTCTGAGATAATTCCACAAGTCGGCCTCACTTGGCTTTATGGAGATGTGCTTTAGTTCTCTACCAAAACGGCTCTCAATACCGCTCAGAACATGGGGTCTCCCAGCAAGAAATATTCCAGTCTTTGGTAGTGTGACTTGGTGGTCAAATAGGTCGAGCACTCGCCCAGCAGCCCTATAATACATCCACTCTGTTTTAGCGCCCTGATTGGGTAAGCATCACATCAAAGGGATCTATCACTCGAAATTCCCTCCTCTAGAGAAGGGTGCTTACGGAAACCCCAACCACATAGCATACGAGCTTCTCACCACACTAGACTAGCAAGCTAACGCACACCCTCGTTACCATATGCCCTTACCACTGGGAGAGTCGTTCGGGTCTGACACCTTGAAGATAGTACATTGCAGACAATCGGCATGGCACGAGCCCTACCGGTAGGAGTATGAAATGCACAGCTAGGTCTGTATCGCGCAGGTGTGAAGGATAAAGGAATAGCAGGGTAAAGGAACTGGTAGAGTGTGAGGTATATAAGCCTCCTATCTAAATTAGATTTCACATCCGCACGACGGAACTACTAGTTCCTCGAACTAGAAATAAGAGTGGAAAACACATTGGGCGGTGGCCGCTGACCACCTCATCCCGATACCCATTGTCTGTGGCGCGCTATGCTTTGTTGGTCTTTGCGGGGTAGAAGGGTTCCTGAGTGGAGATGTATCACCGGTACGTAATGTTGCTAGTGCATTTCCCGCATTGTTCTTGGAGAGTAACTTACCGGGGCCGGTGGAGGGTGGGGGTGAGGGAGACCATGAGCATTGCTATCTCCTGCCCATAGCCCCCCCCCTTCCCCCTTCCCCTTCCGTCATCGGGGCCATGGAGTACCGGTATCATTATTGGATGTTTCAGGACGGAGCCTTTACTGAGTAGGGGAGGGGGTTTCTGGGTGGAGATGTAGTACCGATATATGGTATCTCTTGCCCACTTACTCCGTTGTGCGCTGGAGGGACCGGGGCCTGTGGAGGGACCATGTCAGGATGACTACCGGTATTGTCGTTCCCTAAATATGATTCTCTTACCCCTCGTCAGCATTGGCACAACTCTTGGACCGTGAAAGTCAGGGGAGGAAGTTATGGATGGATGGCCGCAGAGGATATTCTCCAAAAATTTCTTCCTGTGGGAGCAGTCGATTCTGCTCCGGTACGAACTCTCTTAACGGAGATATTGGCCGGTGCAGTGTTAAAGAAGATAGCAGAGAAGTGCCCAAGCGCCGGCTTTGTTGGCGAGGGGGAGCTTATAGGTGTGGTTTCATGGCAGGCCAATTTGAACTGTATATGTCCATAATGATTTCCCAGCCCCTCCCGCCACATCACGAATTACGGAACCCAGCAAAGCACAACCCTTGAGCTCTCGAGCGGGGAACTTCTCGTACGTACAGTACTGCGCTTCAAGCGTGACTGGTGTGGAAAGCAGTGTAGGGCGGTAAGTCACTTCGGCAGGTGTGTCAGGAGAACGGGTAATCGAGTACACAGATAGAGTATGTTTTAGTCTAAGTACAGTACAAGTACAGATGCCAAGAGCTGGTTTAGTTTCTTACGGGCACTCAATATTTTCCCACTCAAATGTGTGTTGCCCATGTACAAGTACAGTAGTGGTACTCGGGTGCTCGTGTTCCTGACATGCCCTCAGGTTGATCCCCCCCAATTGGTGGAGGATAATTGGCAACTGCAAAAACTCGGCTGCTTGAACCATCTGCTATGAAGTCCAAAATCCTACTTCCTGGAAAGGGCCTGTTTTCCCCTTCCGAGGCAGAGGGGAAGTGAAAATTTCGGGACCCTCCTGAGAGAGGCATGCCCAATGACGTAGCGCATGGTTCAATTATCTAGGTTTCTGAGGTAAGTATTTGGCTTGCGATATTGTTGTGATGGTAGTCGCTATCAGAATGCGCAGTGCTAATAGAACGGAATAGTAAGGAGAATATCTGTGGTAGGATCACTAAGAAAGGTGTGTTCTTCGTCTCTCTCTCCTTCGCTAATAGGTAATGACAGGTGTATAAGGGAAACATCATCAAAGCAATCTGATCTCTCCATAAACCACTACACCCATCTCTAACATTCCCTCCATGTCCAAACTCCTCTGTCCACATCCGTAATAACAATGGAAAGACATCTGTAAAATCTGCTTTCAGCCTTCAAACAAATCTATCATACTGCTAAACCCCGAAAACACTCCTACCACTTCTGTAGACAACCTTGTTCTTCCACTTCCCATGCCTTCCATGACCAACCACGACACACTATCACTCATCGCTTCAACAGATATTGGCCAAGTGTGGCTCGACCCAAGCGCCCCCTGAAGCCACGACCAGTATTCCCAACCGTCCTGGGGCCCCACGGGGCCCCACCAGGGGACTTCCAAGGACCCGGGACTAGACGGGACGGCAACCTTGCAGGGCGGCCGTCATCTACTAGCCTTATAGGACTCGGCGGTAATTTGTTGGGCCCTAATTACCGGTCACCGCAGCCGCCTGAGCGGCGAGGGAATCGAAGCCATTGAGTGTATGAAATCTTGGGGGAAGCAGACTTGATTGAGGAAGAGAGACTTCCGGAGGTGGAAGTGATGGTAAATGAATGGAACACCATGTTGTTCAGGTATCGGAAGGAGGAGTGGTACAGTTATATCAATTCCTAGTAGATCTAATATGCAGTCTGGTGTTAGCATAAGTGTAGTGCCCCCCTAGCATTGCTTCATAGATCAAGTACTATCTATGAATACCGACATAATTTTACTACTATTCTATCGAGTATTTGGTTGCCCACCCCCCGGATCGAACTCAGGGCCCCCGTGACGACAGCACCACTGGACCGGTATAGCTGCCGAAGGGGATGCGTTGCCAACTGCACTATAAGATATCGGGGATTTTGAAGTCTCGAAATGTGGAAAAATTATCATTAGGAAATAGGACGCAGGCCTAGTATTTTCAAGACATCACCGATGAGGGTCTAGGGCAAGTCGGGGCTCGCCCGTCCGTCCCGGCTTGAGGTCAATACGGCCGGTCCATTGACCGTCTGTCCCGGGCAGCCGTATTAGACCACCGTCCGTCCGGTCATGCTCTCTAGGACGGACGGATTGGACGCTTGGGTTCATTGTCCAACAATGGCGGTACAACTCCGGCAGACCAATAATCTATAGCCCATGACATTTAGTGTTTTACCACTGCTGTCTAGCATATCCGGGTCGACGTCTTTCAATGCCAAGAGGAGCTTAGTTGTCTCAACATCCCCATTCTACGTATCCCATGAGAGTGGTGTGCGGCCCTTGGTGTCGGGTATATCTGGGAAGATATTTTCCTGTGCCAACAGGGATTCCACGATTTCGTGGTTCCCCCACCGGGCAGCCCACGGGAGAGTCGTTCAGCCCTCACCACCTGCCGTTCTGAAGATAGTATCTACCTGTTCCATGAGTGTTGTCAGTATATAAGTGGAGAAACTGGGCCGGGAAAGTAACGATAAATTATTGGCAAAGCTTGACTAGCTCCAAGGAGTGGGAGACAAAGGACTGCTTCGAACAAACAATAAAAACACGAACCTTGCAGGATTTTTGATCCCACAACTTCAATCAAACAGATGTCCACCACCCCAGTCGGAAGGGTGTAACAGGAGGGCGCGAGGGAACAATCGAGGGACCTGGCGGTGGTGTTCCCACAAATATTTGTGGTTGTTTTCGTATTTGTTGTAAAAGGAGTACAATATAGGAGGGAAAGGAGAATATGGAAAGGGGAGCAGGGAAAGGCCTCGTGTACAGTGTCCCCAAGAGTCCGGGGCCCCTGCTGGGCCCCACGGGGGGACTGCCAAGAGCCCTGGACAGGACGGGACAGCCATGCACAGTCCGTCCGGGGCGGTGAAAGTGGGGCGCGGCCGTCTTTAGGTAGGACGGCGGGCCCTACAGGGTGAATCAGTGTTGGTAAGGGGAACCGTGGGTACTCCCGGGGACTGCGGGGGACGCCGTATTATACCACAAACAACCTCAGATATGGTTGAAACATCGTAGTCGACAAGATCCTGTTGATAGGATTTCACCCTGTAGGACAGTAGTCCTCGGTAGTCCGTCCAGTCCTACGAGTTCCTGGCGTAGTCCGCCCCGTCCTACCCCAAAGAGGGACGGACTGGGCCATTGGGAACACTGGCCACGGCGTCACAATTTGGTGAAGTGATAAGCTCTACGTGGCCTAACTAGTATAAGTGGCGAAGGGTTTGCCTCAACCCAACGAAATCCCAGGACCGCATACACAGGGGTCAGTTATCAACCACGGAGAGCGACCGGGTAGGATTGGGGCCAAACCCTCATCTCTTCTGGTCCGTGTATATTGACATTGTTAACTTGTCCTTGTTGTCTTTTCAGGCATGCTACGTCATATTTTTTCCCGCCTACCTCCTTGCATCCTCATCCCGCCCAACGCGAGAGGATTCATACTTGCCTGAGTGTGCGAAATTTAGTCATACATAGGCCTGGACTGGGTGGAACTGGCGGAGTATCCAAGAGAGGCCACTTAAGACCAGTGTTCCCAACGGGCCAGGTAGGCCAGGCTGAACCGAAGCCGGGCCCGGCCTGCCACAACTATGGGGGATTTAGCCCGGCCGGAGCCTGCAGGCTTTGAAAAGCCTGGGCCTGGCCTGGCCGGGCCCAGCTATAGGCCGTATAGGCTAAGTACCTGCCACCTGATAGGCCGGCCCGGCCTATATGGCCCAGCCTATGGCCTAGCCAAGCCGCGCCTAGCCTATGAATACGGGCCTACAACCCCCCTCAGATCCTTGGTTTCCGTTCGGCTCCCATTCCACTAAACTAGTCCGAGTTACTCCCGCGAGAACCGTAAGTTACATAGTCCCTATGCAAATTCCACGCACTAGTGTTAACAGAATAGAACGAGTATCAGTAAGATCACTAATAGTATTAGGCACCGATCCTACATGCGGGTAGTGATATGGATTTGCTCGTGGTTGATGAAAACCCCCGAGGTCTAATAGGACTTAGCCAACCACAGTGGGCATATTCACTGATGGATTCCTGCCAAAGAAACTGAATCGGAAGGAAGGATTGTGAGATAGGACTGCGTTGGAGAATCTGGAGGTAGTTTCCTGGACTTCTTTGAGCTGGTTGTGGATCGGTAATTGCATAGTTATCATACTTCAACCAACAACTGAGGATATAGATAAAATAATAAACTACAATGAAAGTTGTAAGGAATCGAGCCACTCTTAAAACAATCATCTCTAAAAACCCCACTTGCAGGCCTGTAGGCTCCTACCAGGTCTGATAGGCTTCGGCAGGCCGGTTGAGTTTGGCCTATATCCGCCTAGGCTCATCGTCAGAGCGCCCTGCCTTGGCCCAGCCTACGGCCTATCACTGGCCTGGCCCGTTGGGAACACTGCTTAAGACCGGGTCGCTATAGGTGACAGTTGAATAGAGTAGATGCAGTTTGTTTCTATGTTTATTCTAGTTGTACTGGGGAAGGTCAAGATAACTAATATACAGTATTCTAGCATGCGTCTATGCTCGAGGGAGCATACTCTAGGATTCTGATGAAGCGGATTAGGCATATTGTGGACATGCTGTACAGAAGCTCTGTCAAGACCTAGCGATGGCTATGCTAGATCATAGTATTATATATTGGAGCGGTATAATATAAGGAATTTTATTCGATCTTGGTCCCGTGGTACCAAAGCATACCGCAAGAACTTGAATAATTGATCCGTGTACTGTGAAGTCCAAAATTTCCTCCTCTGGAAAAGGGGGAAAATATATACCAAAAACACAGTTTCTGAGACAATTAAAAAAGAAAAAAACACCAGACCTTACCAAGAGAGGATCTTATCTGATTAAACTACAAACGAGTCTATATTAGTACCGTACGGTACTCATGTCGCTAGGTTGAAGTTGCTTCCCTGTGGGCAAGACACCTCTTGGCTGGTAAATAGATGATTTTAGTACTAGTATGATACAAGTACCTCCTGGACTGCTGAAGCATTGGGAATTTCTTGCCACCCCTGCAATCCCGTATACCGGTAGTTAGCAACACTCTTCCCAGTGACTAGAGCTTCGCCGTTGTGGATACTCCAGGACGCGCTGTTATGCGGACTGCGCCCAGAATATGAGAACTGCAGCAGTAATTCAAAGCACTCGATGTCTCGGGCAATGACAGGGGGTGGCAAGAGATTTCCAATGTCTCGGAAGTCCGGGAGATATTGTACAAGTACTATCACGGTGACACTCTCAAAGGCCTA